GGGGGGGGGGGGGGGGGGTGGCAGCAGCATTATGGCTGTGTACACTGCTGAATGTGTGTTCGTTTTAGTATCACTCCCCATCTGTCAGGGTGGGAGTGAAATAGAAAGATTTGCACCTGGTGGGGGGAGCGGCAGTAACACTCTCACCATTTTGTACCTTTAGCGATGTTTATGGCCGACCTGTAGGAGGAGCTATAACCAACACCCATTAACAACACACTAAAAAACCCATGTACCTCAGCAGACAGGTGGCATCCATTTCAGCTCCTGCTTCTGTCGCTCTCGAAACCTTATGAGGAGACTGATCATCAGGCCAGTGATGGCTGGTGTCAGCTCCCTGGGGGCTCCAGACTGAAGACATGAAATGAAAAGAAATTGTGCTTTATTTGCCATTTGCACAAGTACAGATCCATCAGAATGCTTCGTCTCACGTATCCCATCTTCAAAACAAAGGTTGGGGTCCGAGCTCAAGGTCAGGCTATTGGAGAATTTCGGGGGGGCTGGAGTATTTGGGGTGGGGGAGGGGGGGTAAGAGCCGTGCTGAAGGCCCTGATGGACATTGCCGAGGATGGGATTCAAACCAACAACCTTCCAGACACAGGCAAGGAGGAATGCCCCCCCACATCACTGCCACGTGTAAATGTATACTATTGAACTGCGACTTATCATATATCCTCTCTGTATGCCGTTTACAGCACAGGTATCCGTTGACTTACATCCTATCGAGTTATGCTCAATCTCATATACGTCTGAGGGCCATAGTGAGTAATAAAACTCTGATGGGGAGATTCCTGAAAGTGGACGTAGTAGAACGTTAGCAGGTGTATCTATCGCTTAGTGTAACAGGTGCAGTTGAATGGGCAGCGCTGCCGGCTGTATAATGACCCACTGTCATATCTACCTGTAATACAGTATGTATACAGTAATGTGTATGTGATGGACAGCTACAATAAGCAGAGAGGTACAGCACCTGCACTGTGCTACTTCGTTACATACAAACAAACTTACTGTACTGTACAAGAAAATATTTTGCCACAACTTCAGGCAGCGTTGTTGTCTTTTGATTTCATAGTACAATTTGTGCCTTATTTTTCATGAAATTTAAATGCGATCTCTTTTCATTTTAAAGTGTCATGATATTATATTTACATTATTATTTGGTATAGAGTACTGTGTCTATGTTAGAGTACTGTATTTAATTAATACCTTGCCTGTCCCCCTATAACTATCGAGATACGCCCATATTGACTTGTGTCCATTGGTCTTGATCCCAAATGTGGACGCAAGTCAAGGGATACCTGTATATGCGGTGATATGCAGGCTTGCCCTGGTTGCCATGGTGATGGAGCAGCTGATGCGTTCTGTTCACCATTTTCGGCCATAATTGAAAGGTTGGTGCACGTCTCACCAAAGGTTGCCTGGATGCAGCCGCCAATTCGATCGCTCACGTCAGCACGGACGCGAACACGCTAAGAAAAAAATAAGTCTGTACTTAAGCCATCCATCATGGAGACGTTTATGATGCTATCAGTCATTCACGAGCCATAATCAGAAGCCCTAAAGCAGGAAATGGTGCCTTTCATGGCTTTTTAAATGTGTGTTATGTTTTTTGAAGAATGCTGGTTCATTACGAGTTGTTATGAAAAGCCCTTATTATGAAAGCAACATATTCGCCTGTCTGTGGCTGTATTTATGTGAAGATATATAAAAAGAATCCTTCCAAAGGCTTGTAATGCTTTTCTAATTTGTTTATGTATTTTGACATTTCATGGTCTATTGACTCCATCACTTACTTGCCCTGCTATTTGGGGTGTAAAATGCGTGTAAATGTGGCATCAGATTGAAGGTCATGGTCTTGTAATCGACCCTATAGGGCTCAGCCATGTGATTGGTGGAAACTGAAGACAAACTGGCCAATAATCTCACAGCCACCCCCTCCCCTCTGTCTTCCCTCTCAGGCCTCTGACTTGGGGATGCTCACGATCTACTATACCTACATCTTCACGTCGCTGGTAAGGCCTGCGCTGAACAAACAGAGGGACTTGTTATGTTAAGTATAAACTGGTCCTTGGATTACTGAGGGGGGGGGGGTGAATATTATATCCTTTTGTTAAATAGAACTGTTTTATTTCAGTGTTGGGGGGTATCGATGTGCTTTGAGCTCCTATCGGAGAGATGAGTTCATATGCCGATTTCCCACTGGCTGTTCATCGGTGTGGCTTTGCACTTGGATAATCAGACCTGTTCCTTCTCCTTCCTGTGCCATGTGTTCTGTACCAACTGGGGTGTAGCGGGAAGGAGGGCAGGTCGGGGGAGGCATGATCCAGCAGCCTTGGTACCGATGCTATACCATGGTGAAAAATGCAGGCCCTGGTCCGACGTGGACCAGCACAATTCCTAAACCTGTTTATCTTCCATCCACAGGAGTTGGAATAGAATCTTTCCATAAGCTGTTTTCGGCCTATTTGACTCATATTGCCTTATTTCCAATAAGTTCTGGAACCAGTACCACTTGAAGTCCGTGTGGCATTTCGGGGGCGGGGCAGTGCCCTGGGTTATTACCGGCTCCCTGTCCAGTTGTACGTTGCTTTGTGGATGATTGATTGATTGATTAATTAATCAGTTGATTGGCTGTCACTGTGTGGCATGATGGCTTTCACATGCTCCTGGCTGATGCCTGGCTTGGGATGGGAGAGCTTTTCCTTTCCTCGCAAACACCAACGACCACATTCTCATACCTCTCCTTGTACTGCTGACTGGTTTACAGATATATACACGACATGTGACCATTCATTCTTAATCATCGTTAAACTGACTTGCCCTTTGCCCTTTGCCGTTACATTCCGAGGTCCATAGTAAATAGAATACACTGATCGAGAGATACCTGAACGTGGACGTAGTATTCAGTTAGCAGGTGTATCTATCGCTTAGTGTAACAGGTGCAGAAGAATGGGCAGCGCTGCCGGCTGTATAATGACCCACTGTCATATCTAACTTGTAAACATGTGTTTAATTGCCATGTTCGTACAAACCAACTGTGACAAAGGTAGGGGCCGTCCGGGATAGGTACCGGGACACAGGCTGCCAATCGGAGCCCTTCAAGTGTCTTGGAGTACAAGTCCAGACTCTACGCATTTCTCTTCCTACTTAGGCCCCTCCCCTTCTCGGAAGAAGGGGACCGCCCCTTTAACCAGTGGCCTCTCGCTGAGGTCGTTACAAGGTCACCCAGTGTCCCAACCTCCTCCTCCCGTCTGCTTCGTGTCTCCTGAGGTCGCTCCGTGATATGAAAGCTTCCAACTGAAACGATCCATATTCCCGTCCAGATCATGCGCATCAGGGTGACGGTGTTCCGGCTGTTCCCCGAAGCGGGGAACTTCGCTTCATTAAAAGCTGTGTGAAAAGGGAAAGGTGCCGTTTTATTTTTTGCCCCTGTAATTATTTCATGGTGTTATTACCTCTAAAATGATGCATGGGTAGTGGCCACTTGTTAAAACTCTGCACTGTGACAAAAAGCTCCAGTGGAACAAGGGCTGACTCTTGGATCTATGCAGGGTCCCCCACCCAGGTGCGAGCAAAGCTTTAAATCCACCCTCCCATGCATATTTTTCATCTGTAAATCAATAATTGTGGATTAGGTTTAATGTAATGTGATGCTGCGTATTCATTGGATTCTGTAGTTGTGCACATCGTAACGCTTTTACAGTGACGGTAACTACAGCTGTCTGCTCTGGACTTTTTAATCAGTTTTATTCCACTTGATTTAATTTTATTCAACCTGTTTTTTTTTTAATTAAACAGTAATAAGTGAATAATTCTACGGACAGAGGAATGAAATTCTGCCACAGTCCCATAAATCCGCAGGCAGGTACAGTTTCATCCAGCTGTAAGTGTGTATAAGCATTAGTCTCAGTTGGGACTTGGGACCGGGGACTTGACAGGGGACTGGGAACTTGGGACTGGGGACTTGGGAAACGGGGGGGTGGATATAGCCCCGAAAATAGCCCCCCTCTATCACATCTTGTCTAAAGAGAGAGGGGTAGGGGCTTTCGATTGGGACTTGGGGTCCTTCTTGTAAGGATAATGAACATGGCAGTGATCAATGACTGCCCCATTAACTCAGTGGGTTGCCGTCACAAATTGGAAATCTGGTGGACAT